GTTCTCCGAAGGGGTGCACCGCACTCTTGGTGGAAGGACTGAGTTGCTTCCGGTGCGTTCCCCATGGAAAAGCGGGGGTGGAGAGCGTATGCATGGTTTGGGTCTTCGCATTGCTAAGATGCTCTTGAGAGGGCAGGCTGGTTATGTGGGTCGTAAGCGTGTTCGTCAAGCTCATGTTGATTTGGAGGACATTTGCCGCGAGGTCACATTCTTGCTGAACACGAGACCGTTAGACTTCTCCAATTCTGATGAGCCCTCCGGCGAATGTGTTGTTGTAACTCCCGATCTTCTGGCTAAGGGGTTCACGAGGAAGCGCGGGTGTTTGTTACCTGCTGCTTCGTCATCATTTCCTATTACCCGTCGCTTGAAAGCGGCTCGTCAATATTTCCTTACTAATGTATTTCGAGATATGCGCCTTGCTGTGGCAAAGTCTATGGGTTATGCCAGCTCCCGTGGTAAAGTGTTGAAGATTGAGCAAGATGCCCCGGTGCTGATCTACCATCCTGAGAAAAAATTGAGTCCTGGCTTTCGTTTGGCTCATGTAGTTTCGGTGCTTAAGGAAGGTCGTTTGATCAGAGTCCGCTTCGTCGATGGCTCAGAATCTGAGCAGCATCATTACAATGTTGTTCCGTTGTTGCATAATCACACGCTGTCGCAGCAGAGGGGGCGTATATTGGATTAGGATGCTCCACTGACATTGTGTATGCGTGCAGCCTGTCGCATGCGTGAGCCTGTCGCATGCGTGAGCCTGTCGCATGCGTGCTGCTCCATTGTTGTGCGTGCGGGTTGCCGCTTTCTGTTATACGAGTCGTTCGAGTGGATTACTACTAGCAAGGATCTGTCAGTTGGTTCTTACCTGTATACTTGTCTCCCGTGTTGGTAAATCTACAATATCCTCAGCCGTAATACATAACCAACCTGTGCTCAACACTCCGCGAGTATCGGTAGGTATCACTAGGGTCTTCAAGAACAAAATGCTTTCTTGTTGGCCTTCCTCCCATCGTAGACAACGCGACATTTGGTTGCTCTTAAAGATCTCTAGATGACCAGCTGTGCTTATAGGCGAGCCATTAACTCACCATCTGCGGGCCTCTAGTTAGACGGTGGATCCTAGAATCGTTGAACGATCATCGTCCTCTCAACCGCCTCACCCTCAGAACATGGTCGGCGTTTCGTCGACGGCCCACACTCAAATCGTTCATTGACATGAAGTTGATATAGCCTGACATGAGGAGATCGATTTGTGGCGTCGCTGTTGATACATACACCTTCGGGCTGTCATACTATGGGATTCTCGGCAAGAATTTCTTGCGGACTCTAAAAACTGTTGTCCGAGGCAACTTGTCTCCTATCTCTGACTTCGCAGTCGCGACGACCATCGCCCTCAGCGAAATTCACGACGATACGGTCATCTCTGAAAGAATCTAACTGGAGTACCTCGGCTGGCAAGGTGCCTTTGTCGTCAGAATCTCGTGGATCTCGTTGGGCATGAAGGATTCCCTCGATATCGATACCAAAGATATCGGCCAATCATAATCAAACTCCAAGTTCTAGTATACCAGGGAACAGTGGGAGGTGGGGGGGGAGCTCGAGATGAGCAAGAGCTGGATCACTGAATTGACTTTTGTCCACCATCAAGGCCTCGACGAGGCAGCCTCGTTCCCAGTAATGGGCCGTAGGAGTTGAAGACAACTGACACTACTGCTATCTAGTAATATGTGTCGGAGTAGAGGCCAATTTGGCCAAAGCAGGGCTATCAGTCACGGTTGAGATTGATATGATAAAAGGTGTCTCCAAAGGCCTATATAGTCCTCGAAGTTTTCGGCGTCGTACCGTGAATAATGCAAGTCCCCATCAATCTGAGACAAATTGTGCATTTTGGGAAGCATGAAGTGCTAGAAGGAACAATGCTTCTACAATAGAAGCTCCACTCCATTCTGACCGTCTGCATTGCGTTCTCTATTCCTACATGTTGGTACCCTCGGATGCTCGCTGGGTGTTGGACACCTGCTTCACCCAAAGCCTCAATAGGCATATGTACACGAGTTGTACACCAGTTTCGCTACAATTGCTTCAGCGATATTGGTTTATTCCGATCACTAGCTGTTATCCTAAGCATGTGTTGCAGAGTTGAGCATGCCTTGTAGTTACAAGCACCTTCTTGTGCGCGGAATGGCAAACCTTAGCTGAAGTAGCTTCGTTTATCCCGTCTTCTCGTTAATCGACCTCAACATACCAAACACAATTCTGTTACGATGAAGGCTATTCGCAGAGATATTACAGCAGCGTCAACTCGTTTTGCGAACTCA